TGTGTGCTCTGAAAATACGGAACAAAGGCCGTCCCGTATCCATTCAATACGGGACGTTCATAGTTTTTCTATATACGGGACAATTCCGTATTTCAAGGGACGGTTGGCAACCCTATGTACCAGCGAATGGTGCTGTTGTAGCTGCTTATTACACGCACGGTAGATCATTATGTTACAAATGGTCTGTCGGGTTGATAATGTAAATATAAACAAATCTAACTAAATTAAGCTAGCAGCTGTTGAGTTAGCCACAGGACGCGTCATCGGCCTACATCAGTAAAATGACAATGTGGGTGGCAGTTCAACTTGACAACAAAGGGACTGATATCGTAGAGATCCATGTATCATACAGTTGTGTGAATGACAGGAGCAGTTACCACTTAAACCAAACTTTACACGAGACTTTGACTCTTAAAACCCAAATATCTAATTGGTTGTTTACTTTATTTCCGCTATCTTTGAGGGGTGAGAGTAGCTCAGTTGGTAGAGCACTGGCCTTTAGGCCTGAAGGTCGTGGGTTCGAGCCCACCATAAGACCTACTTCACGACTCCCACTGATGACTGCTGTCGTTGTGTCCTTGGGCAAGACACTTAACCCCACTTTGCCTGAAGCCCCCGCTGAAAGATCTCAGCTCCTGTGGACTCACCACCTGCAGGAGGATCAGTGAGGGGCTGGTGCTCTGTGTACTGGGTGCAGCTCTGACTGCCACCCCCCCGACCCAGAAATGGATTAAGGGGAAGAAAATGGATGGATGGATGGATTTCCGCTATCTTTGTTTGATTCGGCTGCTGTGGAATGCACATGTGCAGGTTTGCCTTACACTGCCTTAGCTGTTTATTATGTATCTTGCCCATAGACTCTATATATTAACGGACCTATCACCTATCTCCGCCGTTCTAACTAATGGGCCAAAAACTGGGCTCTCATGGAGTAATTCAAAATGGCCGCGGGGGCTGGAAAATGTAAAAAAACCAGTGTGGGAGGGTCCCAGCTCAAAAGTGGCCAAAATGACGTGCGCTGACATGCTTGCAATACGACCCCGGGCCGATGGGGGTGGACCCAGAAGTAGAATTAGCCAATGCTAACATATAGCATTAGCAGACCTCTCAAAAACGTCTTTACAGGGTGGACCAAAAGTTGGCTCTTGGCCCAAAGCTCCGTTCCACATGTGTGTCAATGCTGAGGGGGGTGGATTTTTTTGGTCCACTCTAGTTTACTTGCTGTGAATTTTTGAAGTCTCTCGTTCAAATGACTGGAGCTGCGCCGGCTGACGCATGCGCAGATGCGTTTTTTCACAATTTTCTTGTGGGCGGGACCACTCGCGGCCATTTTGGGTAGCTCCAGTAGAGCACATTTTCTGGCCCATTAGTTAGAACGGCGGAGATAGGCGTGACTCTGTCCGTTAATATATACAGTCTATGGAAAAAAGGCATCTGCGCATGCATCAGCCGGCACAAGCCCCATTCATTTAAACGAGTGACTTCAAAAATTCACACACATGTGGAACGGAGCTTTGGGCCAAGAGCCAACTTTTGGACCATCCTGTAAAGGCGTTTTCTAGAGGTAAAAATATGCTATATGTTAGCATTGGCTAATTCTTATTCCGGGTCCACCCCCATCTGCCCGGGGTGGTATTGCAAGCATGTCAGCGCACGTCATTTTGGCCACTCTGATCTTGACAAGACAGTGAGTGTTGGTTTGCTTGCGTGTTATAATCAGCTACAACAGCACCATCTGCTGGTACAATGCTAAAACAACCACATTACACTTAATCTCCAGAGGCACTGATGGCAAGAATGTGTCAAAAGTTTCGTGTGTAAAACCAAAGTCTGTGCGTGTCGCACTCTTCTCTTCTTACAACGTGGTTACTTACATACAGATTGTTCTGTTACAGATACGAATGTCGACTTACACACACACAAATCTGGGTGCACATGCACACAGTCCAACTTACAATTGGGATTTTGCGAAGGCAGGACTGTGTCAAAAGATCTGTGTGTAAAAAAAAAAAGGCTTTTGTGTAAAACGTACTTTTTTTTTATACACACAATCTAGTTAAGCACACACAAACCTTGTTACGCACATACAAATCTATTTACACACGCACAAATATTTTTTTACACACACACAAATCTGGATATGCACCCACAGATTTTTTTAAGCACACACAAATCTGGTTACGTATGCACAAATATTTTTACGCACACACAAATCTGGTTACGCACACACAAATCTGGTTACAAACGCAAAAATCTTTTTACGCACGCACAAATATAATTGAAACAATGATAGCTCCATTGTTTCTCTATTTTGGCCTCCTTTTTTACTAATCATCTGTATATGAAAAAAACATATTGGTTTACTGAGATTATCTTTTTTATTAATTTACTATTTTTTGTTGTTGTTAATTTGTATTACTTGCATAGATATGATGTTACTTTATTTATTGTTTATTTGGTTGGGACAGTTCATGTTACGGAGCACATCACCCCGGATTGTAGTCATGGGCTAATTTGCATCCGTTGTCACACATTCGCACTCACAAACACACACTCATTCATTCACCCAATTACGTCAATTCAAATGGCTGGTTTTCTGCTCCTCTGCCTGTAAGCCCATCTTTCCCCTTCTGTATGGTGATGTAGTCCAGGCCACGGCCCTCCTCCTCCCTCCCATTCAGTGATATAGCCTCCTGCTGGTTTGGTGTTTACTGGTGCATGATCTGATTATAAACTTTTTCCTAACAATCGTGATGTGTCATGTGGGGTAAAAACAACAGAGCTTGATGTGAGGTGAACAGACTGTGGTATTACATTCATGACTGTGGTACTCGCTGGACTCGGGAGAGAGGCTGTGCATGCTGATTCAGGCACATTCGTGGGCGTTTCTGTTTTGATTCCTCCCTCTGTCAGTCACTGCTGAGCCCGTCCTGGAGGGGCTCAGCAGTGTCTGGCACTGGTTTGCTTGTCAGTCACCGGGCTTTTGCTGCTCGGTGCCACATCACGAATTGGTGCCACATCACGAATTGGTGCCACATCACTAATTGATCTGAGGCAATAATAAGAAACTTGGGCTTGTGTATGTGGGCCAAAAATGCACATGAATGATGTTAGGGGACCTTAGGGGACCTTTATAGAATTTCCTTTTGTTCTTGTTAGATGCATTTTTGTATAAACGTGTCACAAGAACATGTGATCACAGGGATCAATTTTGGACCTATTTTTCACACAGCCATTTGTTTGGCAGTCCATAACTCAAAAGATTGTAAGAAAATTATCATGTGTAACCAGCCTTAATACTATGACAATATTTAAGTTTTTCTATACCAGACAAATCTAAGTTAATGTGAATATTTTCACAGCATTCTTCAATCTTTCTCAGAAGCGTCTCAAATTTTGAGGAAGGAAAAGTATGCAGTTGAAACACGTCAAGATAATAGCATCGTTATCTTATCCAAATATCTTAATCTACTAAGAAGACCAGATTGAGTTTCCTAAACTATTTCAAGAATTGTTGAGATTATCACACACACTAAAAAGCTAATTTTGCCTATTCTGTTTTTCAGGTGGTTCCAGAAAATTGTGTGGTAAATGGCAGACCTTACATGGAGGCCTCCCACTCAGCAGCTGCGGACGAAGATGGGGAGGAAGATGACAATATACCTCAAATCAACAACAACCACCAGCATGCTTCCAATTTTGAACAACATGCACCTCCCAAGAGAGACCCAGTGCAAAATGGGCTTCACCTTCTCTCCTCTGTAATACTGCAAAATGGCTGCTCTAAGATAAAACTTCATGGTGCTAAAATGACCTCAGGGTCCTATCCTGTACATCGAAAAAGCACAATGACTCCTGAACCTCCAAGGACATTTATAACTATGGTAGCTGAAAACAGACTCAAGACCCCGTCTGAGGACTTTGCGGTTCCTCTAAAAAAGATCAAAACGGAGGAACCGTGGTTATGGTTCACGGATCATGCTACAAAACACTTGCGAGATGTGGAAGAAGTCTGTGAGGACCCTTTATCGACTCTGGCTGCAGTGGTTTGCTTGTCTGTCACGGAGAGAAAAGGACTTGAGGATAAAATACTTGGTTCACGATCATCTAATCTGCGATCCATCAAAACTGAACCGCCAGATTATCATTTTATGGAGAATGATTTGAATGGACGGATGACCCCTCAGCTTGTTCAACAAATGTCTGATCCAATGCAAAAGGAATTGTTACCAAGTGTGCAATCTTTAGCAGAAAAGCGGAATTTAAGTTTTGATCAAGCAGTCGCTATCGAGGCCTTGACTCAATTGGCAGCTCGACCTCAAAACACTGCTGCGGCCATTAAGACGGAAAGTAACCGTGACTATCCCATTTCAAAAGTTGCCGAAGCAAAACCAGCATTCCATAAAGTGTCGGTAATAAGCTCCCTTAAAACATCGGTGATACGACCAAATATTGCGAGACGAGGCAATGTCATCCACTGTAAGAAAATGGAGCCATTTCAGGTCATGAAGACGGAATTCAGCATAAAAAAAGAGATTGGGGAAGACAAGGTATTTGCAAAAACGGCACGCAACCGCGATGAAGAGGAGGTAGCGGCGCAGCTAGCAGACTTAGCTTTCATCATCCAAGCTAGACACAACCAGCCATCCGAGAACGTTCATCAGAAGGGGACCCCAGTGTCTGCTATAAAATACAACTTCAATGTGTCACCGCTGAATGCAAACCAGAAAAAGGCTAAAATCACACCAACAAGGCAGAGGAAAAAGAAGACAAACGAAGCAGGCGTGAATAGGAGGAAACCGTCATCTAAACAAAAAGGACAGACACCGGTCAAAAGAGGTCTAAAGATACAGCTACCGGGGTTGAACCATAAAAGTAACTTATTTTTACCACAATCTCAAATAGATGTAAAGAAATGTTTTGATGAAGCACAAGAGCAAAAAGGCCAATTTCTACAGAATGGATTAGCGCTGTTTGGGAGTTCAAATTACGGCAGTCAAATGAAAGCGCATGATAACCACCCGCAGTGCCTCGCTAACAGACAAATCAACCATACTCATTTGAACGGATCACTCAATGGGTTTTCGGAGCACAGGAAGTCGCCGCCCCCGAGTCAGCAAAATTATTATAAGCTGGAGCACACAGGCCCATTCACAGTTTTGTCCACAAACGCAGACCCGGGGGGGGACTCAGAGCGCTCTGCGGAGTCCACCCCATCCAAGCACAGCGTCGACGGGTTCCTGGAGTCTCCGGGTAGCTTCCTGGACACGCCCACCAGGAACTTGCTCAACATGCCGTCAAAGAAGTTGAGCGATCTGCCCACGTGCCACTGTGTCGGTGAGGAGATATTTATGTTCAGTGTATTGTCATTAGTTATCTTTCAGAATCTGCCGATTCAATACATACGTATACAAGGGACTTTTAAGTCAACATGATATTTTTCAAAACCATGTATTACAGTTTAACCCTACCCCTTTTGAAACGCTTCGCCACGCACTTTATTGAAGTGTTATTAAAAGCAACTTTCAAAGTCAACGTTCCCTCCCTCACCTATGGTCATGAGCTTTGTGTAATGACCGAAAGAACGAGATCTCGGATACAAGCGGATACAAAATGAGCTTCCTCCGCAAAGTGGCTGGGCGCTCCCTTAGAGATAGGGTGAGGAGCTCAGTCACACGGGAGGAGCTCGGAGTAGAGCCGTTGCTTCTCCACGTCGAGAGGAACCAGTTGAGGTGGCTCATCTGTTCCCGGAGACCGCGGGAAGACCCAGGACACGCTTGAGGGACTATGTCTCCCAGCAAGCCTGGGAACGTCTTGGGGTCCTCCCGGATGAGCTGGAGGAAGTGTGTGTGGATAGGGAAGTCTGAGCGTCCTTGCTTAGACTCCTGCCCCCACGACCTGGCAAGGGATGAAGCGGAAGAAAATGGATGGATATTTATATATACCATGTATTTCATGTATTGATGATAAAAAAAATATGATTCAGTCACCAGTTTATTTCACAGATCACTCAGTGAGGTGGGATTTATAGCGTTTTAAGCTGCTTTTTACGATGACTTCTTAAAAATATAGTCTACAGCAGTGATTCTCAAAGTGTGGTACGCGTACCACTAGCCGTAACCAGGAATGTCCCATTGAGATTAAGAACCTCTTTTTCAAGGGAGTCCTGGACAAAAATTACATACAATTACAGATTATAAAACAGTTACATACAATTACAGATTATATAAATAGTCACATACAATATCATAAAATTATGGATTATAAAAACAGTTACATTTCAATGTCTCAAGTGCTCTCAATCTGGATCTAAAAGCATCAATGAAATAAATTCAGATAATTTCCAGTGTTTTTGCAACACGTTCTACGTAGAAGGAGCAGCATATACAAAAGCTTTTTTTCCCCAGTTCTGTGCGGGCAAAAGGAACAGAGAGCAACAAAAGATCATTTGATCGCAAACCATATGAACCAACACCTCTTTGTGTGAGTAGATGGCAGATGTAAGATGGCAGCAGACCAAGCATAGCCTTATAAACAAAAGTGCACCAGTGTCCAAACCTTCTGGTGGACAAAGAAGGCCATCCCACTCGAGAATATAATTCACAGTGGTGACTCAAGGCTTTGCATTTCAAAATGAATTGAACATTTTAATTGAATCATTATTCAAGTACAGTTTTTAGTTGGTTTTTTTCCTTAATTTAGACGCAGTCTTACTGTTGAAACTGTGTAAAATGTTACAATGGCTGACAATATTAAATATATTTCTTTAGGAATGAAACCTCTGCCTTGTTTTGATGAATGCTAAAGCCACGTTCAGTCCGGATCATGCGTAGCGTCGACTTCCAATGCAAAGTCAATGGTGACGCACGTTCGAGTGTGGAACTGCATGTGCGTCTCGGGATGCACGCGCGGACTGCGCGGCAAAGGCATGGCAAGGCACAGGAGCGGAAAATTGACGCATGCAGGAGATAAATATCGCTGAGCGTTTCCTCGGGACGCTCATGCAGCAACCAATCAGAGCCGCAAAGTGGTCACGGGGACATTACCGGTCTGAGCGAGCAGACTGAACATACTCGTAAACAGCCAAAACAGTGAACAGTGCTTGTGAACGTATGCGTTTTCATACTCCATTGACTTTATGCAACTGCTTTGAGCGTGTTCGCCGATGCGGAAGTACCGTTTGATAATAAAATAAACTTCTGGCGGACCTCCGTGAACACATACTGCTGTTATATAAAGTCTCTGGAAGGTCTCTGGACACAGAGATGCTTCAGAGCTGCATTATTGGAGAAGAACTTTACACAAAAAGCCGCTAGCTTAACTCCGTTAGCATCAAAGTCCGCCCGTTACTTCCGCCACTTCGGCGGGTGCCACCACAGGCCAGGACTTCTGGTCTGAAAACCCCTGCATCTGAAAATTTGAGAATGTGTGTCTGGTGCGCAAGGCGTCAGCGTTCCAGCGTCGGCGGTGTGAACGCACCATTAGGCTTACTACGCTACTGTATACTGTTGGTCATTTGTGGTGGTACTTGGAGAGGCAAGTATTTTCTGACTTGGTACTTGGTGTAAAAAGTTTTAGAACCACTGGTCTACAGCATGGATGTCAAACTCTGTCAATTTGGCTCTGCTGTTGTTTTTGCGCGCCAGCCATGCTCTTTCTTCATGTTCAGCTCAAAGCCTGAACCCTGACATTAAAGAACTAGCATCCATGAAAAAATTACATGTATCTTGTTTGGGCCCATCAGATTAGATCAGTGTGTTGCAAACTTAGCAGTAAAAAGGCCTGAATGGTTGATTTATTCATTATTATTTTATTTTCAAATTTATTATTAACTTGTGGAAAAAGTTTGTTTTGATATTTACCTCAGAAAAGAGCCATTCAATTTGTATTTAAATTCTAATTGATATGCCATTGATATTTTTATTATTATTATTATTTTAAATTCGATTTTGCATGTCACTATAAAGTTATATAAGTCTTGCTTGTTCATTATTCAATGCAAAACTTGGGTCCCTATTAAAAGGTTAATTTGTTCAACATTGGCCTGCGGCTTTGTTCGGTTTTAAATTTTGGCCCATTCTGTATTTGAGCTTGGTCTACAGTCTCAAAAGTATTTTACGCGTTTAGTCAAATAAACGCTTGAAATGAACACCGACTCACTCACACACTCCACTCTCAGAACTCATCTGTTAAGACAAGCCTACTCACTAACATCATAACCACACCATTGCCTGGCCCGCCTGGGAGCGCTTCAAGTCCTGCACCGGACCTGTCCACACTCTGCGGCTGCTGCGTGGCATTGGTCCTTGTTCTGTAGCTTAGGTCCTGGATCATTAGCCCGTCCGTCCGTGTAGGAGCGGATCCCTTTCTCAATAGGTTTGTCTCCTCGAGGTTTCTCACTTGTTTTTCCCACTGGGTTTTTATGAGTTTTTCCTTGCTGATACAGGAGGGTCTGTTGGGCAGTTAGTGTCCAACTAGAAGGACTGTGGTGATGATCCAGGACACTTTAACATTCTACAACATGTATGGACATTTATCAACATTCATGGACATTGGTCTCTCCCTATGGACCAATACATATGTTTATATTTTGTCTCTTAACTGTTGATTCTCTGATCTGTGTTGGTGATTTCAATGGTTTTGTTAAGTCCTCTGAGATGACTTCTGTTGTGATTTAGGGCTATACAATAATAAGTTGTTGTTGTCTGTCTCTTCAGAAAATGTTATACCTAGGTAATGATTACATTGCTGAAAGAGATGATTCATGAAACCATGAAAGGGCAAAGGAAGTCAATATTAGAGTCTTTGAGAATGTGCTGAACTTGGTCTCTTTTTGACTTGAGCCTGCGTATGTTTAAATTGTTTTTGTTTATTTGAATGGCTAACACCACCGTAAAGTCTTGCAGGACTGATTCAGGTGTTGTTCTTAGATTTGTGAGTTGGAACATTGGAGGAATGGGCAATCCTGTTAAGAGCTCAAAATTTCTCACTCAATAAAACGTCTAAAACCGTCTGTTGTGTTTCTACAGGAAACTCATCTTCAAAATAAAAATCACCACAGGTTGCATTGTTTTTGGGTGTGCCAAGTCTTTCACTCAGACCTAAATTCTAAAGCTAGAGGAGTAGCTATTTTGATTTGTATAATTAACTTTTTTTCAACCAATGTTATAGCAGACAAAAATGGACGATTTTTAATAGTTGTGGGTACCTTGATGCAGAAGAAGGTCAATGTTTGGTTAATGTTTATGCGCAGAACTTTGCTGATACTGAATTTGCCAATAGACTATTAAGCACGATCCCTTTTTTAAATACTCATCTGTTGATTTTTGGAGACCTCAATTGTGGTCCTGTTTTGGATCGGTCTCACCCTCGTACTATGGCTCTCTCTTCTATGTCAGTTGTTATTTCAGAATTTATGACACAGAATGGGCTTGTTGACCCCTGGAGGTTCCGTAATCCTTCTGATAAGTATTCATTCTTCTCTCATGTACATCAGTCATATTCCAGGATTGATTATTTTTTTATTGACAGTAGTTTAAATCCATCTGTGTTTCTTGTGGATTATTTGAGGATAACAGTGTCGGATCATGCACCATTACTGTTAGATACCCAGTTTACTTCCTATAGGCATAGTGTGCCACGATGGAGGTTCAATTATCATTTTCGGCAGAAAAAAAGTTTTGTGATTTTATTTCCAAGTCTATTGATGAGTTCCTCAGATTCAGATTCATTTTATTTGCCATTTGCAGTAAAACCACATTGGAAAACATTAGCAAAAGTCACCAGCGTGCACAAGACATGTACAGACATAACACATTAAAAGTATGGAAATAAAACAGTAAACAATTGTCACTGTGAAACGATCGACTAAAACAGTTTCAATACAAGTGCAAGAACATTTAAGTGCTCTGTTTAAACTGATAACAGCTTTTGGGAAGAAGCTGTTAGTATGACGAGATGTCCTGCATCTCAGCGAACGATATCTTCTGCCAGAGGGAAGAAGCTGGAACGTGGCTTTTCCAGGGTGGCCAGAAGAGTCATTGATAATTCTTAGAGCTTTGTTTAAAAGTCTGGATTTATAAAGAACCTCCAGAATAGGAAGCTCACAGCCCACAGTTCTCTTTGCAGAGCGGAGCACCTTGTTTAAAGCTCTCCTTTCTTTGTCCGTGATGTTTCCAAACCACAGAGTCATAGAACCAACAAGCAAACTCTCAATGGTGCAGCGACAAAAGTTAAGCAGAATCTTAGAGTTAGTGGTATATTCTGTAAGTAGAGACGCTGACGAGCTTTCTTAACGACCCGGTTAGTGTTTTTGACTAATTTCAGGTCGTTAGACA